TGTAGGTGTGTTTAAATATCACTACACGTGTGGGGGTCTTTGGTCGTCCTGTTGATTGCAGTTAGACAGGAAGACATACGTTTTGTCATGGTTGTCATGGTTGGAGTGGTGACCCTGAAAATTCCATGAAGTTGAACTTCTTTTAATATGCAGATGGGTGTGGAGAGCCTTTTAGCTGAGAGGAGGAAGGAGATTTGGGCTGAGGGAGGATGACTGTGGGGTATGGAGTTGTGGGAAGCTCCAGGCCCTTTTATTTTTTAAAACACCCATTCCCCAGTTGTAAAGACAGGAATGTAAGGACAAAAAGAAGACAGGGTGTACTGCTGAAAAATTCCTGCCTAAGAACGCAGTGGCCTGGCCCTCAGGAATTCCTGGTTTGAGCTGGATGGAAGCTTCTGGGGGAGGGGAGGATACCCCCAAGGCTTGTGTAAGGGAGGTAGCTATACCCCTCCCTCCAAGGCACATTTTCTCCATCATGTTAGCCATGTTATTGTGGAACAGGTCGTTCTTTTCTGTGACAATGTAGTACTCCCTCCCCCAACCCCCAGCACAAAATAAAAATAGATTTTGAGTGTCCTGTGAATGGACCTATCACTACCCGATCAGGGTTATCTGAGCCCTGTTTCCTTCCCCTCCCCTATTATGCTGACCACCACCATCATCACTGCACCTCCATTGTCTCCTTAGTGCTTCAGAGAAGGAAGAAAGGGGCAAAGATCCCTAGAGGTACCAGCAGGGTTGGTGAGGGAGAAGTTGTTGGCTAATATTGGACTTTAAACCTTAACAATCCTGACTTCGTAATAACCTGTGCCTCTGCTTGAGGCTTGCAGCTCTTTGTAAGTCGTACCCACAACATTTTTTAAAATACTGTTTAAGAGATAAAGCACATACTTGAACTGTAAACTAAAGTTCCACCAGAAATGAAGAGCAGGAATAAAAGGCCAGGACTACAGGATTCATCTTTGAGAGGACCTCCTCTTGGGTACACTTGGGTGATGGTAGCCAGGAGTGGATTCTGGGAAAGCCCTGCCTTTGCCGTGGAGGTTCATGAATGAACTCGACGACACTGGGTTTGCATGAAGTCTTTGAGGTGCTCTGGGGGCAGCCAGCGTCAAGTCATCGTTAGACGACACTGGGTTTGCATGAAGTCTTTGAGGTGCTCTGGGGGCAGCCAGCGTCAAGTCATCGTTAGACAGAAGGGAGGGACATTTGAGATACTCCCATTCTGAACCTAGCGAAAGCTGAGAGACGCCAGAGGAAAAGCACTTTCCCCAAAGCCCCAAAGTTGGTGGTGACCCTGAAACCAGGACCCAGTCTCTGGGCTCCCAGTAAGAAGTCAGAGAATCTCACATTCAACGTGATGAGAGTCCCATCCGTGTCATTCATTAGCTATGATGCACAGGGCAAGTTTCCTCATTTGTTAAACTATACTGTTAATCTGAGCCATTCGCACCTGTTAAATCTGTGTGTCTGAGGGTTTGCTTCTTATTAAATAGTTTCCTATATCCTATGTTCCTGTATTAACATTCCACTTATATGCCTGTAATTTTCCATTTCCTTTCTAATGTATTTTTCCCTCTAAGAAGCTTTTAATGGTTTCCTTTAACAAAACATGAGGAGTATCTTTATGGGCCATACAACATTCTCTTAGATTTCCAGATGAAAGTGATAATATAATATATGCAGAAAGTAGTATTATGGGCTGTTATATATTAAAAATAAAACTTGGAAAGCAGGAATATCAGGCTAACTCATTTCAGTATTTGTATGTTCGTTGTTCAGAATTGTGGTGTATTACCATAATACCTATTGAAGCCGATTTCAAGGTCAGCTCTGACAGGAAGTCAGCAATTTCCTTTTATTCACTAAAAACTAAAGGGGCATATTAGTTTGCTAATATACATGAAAGAACATTATAACTCATAGTATCCCTCAATTGACGTCAGCTTCCTAAATTTAAAAATTCTTACTGAACGTACGTGTGTGTGAGGGGGTGGAAAGCAGGGGAAAAAAAAAAAGTTACTTCTGCCTGCTTTGTTAATCACAAAGAATAAATAATAACATTTGGCTCTTCAGTGAATTCAAGGCTATAATTCACCTTGGAAGCTCCCCTGTTTTAGAGACCACTTGCACTGGGTTTTCTTAGTCCCATCTGGATCTCCTGCTTATGATCACTCCAAAGTAATAGCTTTTTAGACCTAGTTTATTTATCACGATGGCCTAAATTTTACCTACACTTTAAAGATTTCTTTATGTGAACACACCTCAAACACTGATTACTCTCTAGTTTTCATTTATAAATTTGACTCCGTGAATAGCTTGCCCTTGAAATTTTGTCTGCAGTTTACTCTCCAGATATTTTTTGATCACCTACTACATGCTGTTTGGAGGTGATGGGGATACAGGAATGAAAAAGAGCAAGACCTTGCCTTCTTGGCCCTCACATTCTAGAGATTCGGTGAGAAGTGACAGTAGGTAGCTAAGAATGGAACTAATGTGGGGTTTTTTTGTACTTCCTCCTAACCCCTCATTTCACTATGGAAATTGCCCAGGTATGGGTGATTAGGCCACTAAAATCTAATGTCACCTCTGCCACTAAGAAATGGGAAAGCAGATCATTTAGGGTATCTCATTCTGTATTTCGTGAGGTTGACAGCAAAAAAGGTTTCGTGTGTGCAGATGTGTGCCTCCAAGGTAACATCGTAATATAGAATAATTACTACCACTGGTGGTATTCAGCTGGCTTGCTGGGATCATTGATCTCTATCAGTATTTGGAAAACATATTTACTCATTTTGGCTCCTATCCAAGGTGCAGTTGTACCCACTCCATGAAGCAGTTCCCCAGTGAGGATGCCAAGAAGCCTTGGAGCGTGGGTGATGGAATACTGCTCTCTGAAACTGAAGAACCAGAATTTGCACACCCAGTCTGTGGTGGGCTCTGATCCAGTAGTTTCAAGAACAGCTTCTCTCAGAGATCCTTGATCAGAACGAGGCCTGGGACAAATCCCTGGCCTTAACTGTCCAAGTGGTCTCTGCTTCAATTAAGTAGCTGGCAGGGGGACCACATTTTAAACTGTCCCTTCTGATCACTCCTGGTATAGTAGAGATGGTGGGGAAATAATGCTAGATAAGAGTGGCCATTTGTTGGGCCAGGCACACAGCTGTGCTTTTCAAGTGTACCATTGCATTTAAATCTCAGAAGAAAATTAGTACAGCTATTATGGAAAACAGTATGGAGGTTCCTCAAACAACTACACATAGAATTGCCATACGACCCAGCAATCCCACTGCTGGGTATGGGTCTATATCCAAAGGAGTGGAAATCATCATGTCAAAGGGATACCTGCACTCCCACATTTACTGCAACTCTCTTTACAATAGCCAAGAGTTGGAACCAACCTAAATGTCCATTGACAGATGACTGGATAGGGAAAGTGTGATATATATATTCAATGGAATAGTACTCTGCCATAAAAAAAGAATGAAATTTTGCCATTCACAGCAATGTGGATGAACTTAGAGAAAATTAAGTTAAGTGAAATAAGCCAGGCACAGAAAGAGAAGTACTGCATGTCCTTACTCATAAGTAGGAGCTAAAATAAAGAAATAAAGAAAAAAGAAACAGTCACAATAATACATTAAACTTTCTTTTTTTTTTTTTTTTTGTCTTTTTTGTCTTTTTCCGTGTCCAGCAACGGATCGCAACCCTCAGTGTTGCTCCCGCGCCTCACTCAGCCAGTGAGCAGGAACCGGTCTGTATGTGGGATCCGAACCCTCGGGCGGGAGCGCCGCCGCGCTTCCCAAGCAGCGCACTACCCAGTGCGCCACCGGGCCGGCCATACATTAAACTTTCAAAAAAAAAAAAAACAGAACTGTGGTTATTAGAGGTGAAAAAGGGGGAGGGGGAGAGAGGTTGATGAGAGACTAATTAAGAGTCACAAAGATTATGTTTTGTAAACATGAATATACTAATTATCTCGATTTGATCACCATATATTGTATACATGTATTGATATTCGATTCTGTACTCCACAAATATACATAATCAATAAAAATAAATAAATCTCAGAAGAAATGTTAAATAACTTAGCTAGTAATTGAAAAGCATATATTTGAACCATATTTCTCTGATTCCCATAGCCTCTGCTTTTTCCATGATTCAGACTTCTCTTTCATTCTCAGTTTAGGAGATTGTATGGTTTTCCCCTTTTAACTATCTAGAGCCCTGCGCAAAGTTTTGAATGCCCATTCAATTATGAAAATGGGTCTTAGATGGTTACTTTTTAAAGGGTTTTATATTTTAATGGCTTTAGGGGGCTTACTTGTAAGGTGTTTAAACCAGTTAGTAATGGAGAGCATCTGTTGACTTCAGTAATAAATTTGAAATTTGTTTAGAAATCTGCCTATGTGTTAAATTTGAATTTCTCCAGTGAGTCTTTTTGTATCTTAGATGATTTATGACTTTCTGGGGAATCATTTAGAGTGTGTATTTTTTTAAACAAGTGGTCTTCATAAAGACTAGGGCAGACGATATATATCACACTCACTCAGACATCTGGACTAGACAGGGCAGTTCTGTTTGATGTTTGTTGCAGAAATGGCACCATCAAATGCTAACAACTGCTTTATTCTGATCTCAACATCATGTTTAAAACATGCCTTTCTTTTTTCTGCTTTCTACCTCAGTATTACTCTACTGACTGGCAGAGAGGAGAGGTAGATGTCCACGCCCACAGACCCTGGTGCGATGCCCCACCCAGGGCCTTCGCCAGGGCCCGGACCCTCCCCTGGACCAATTCTCGGACCTAGTCCAGGACCAGGACCATCGCCAGGTTCTGTCCACAGTATGATGGGGCCAAGTCCTGGGCCTCCGAGCGTTTCGCACCCTATGCCGACAATGGGGTCTGCAGACTTCCCACAGGAAGGCATACATCAGATGCACAAGGTAAGAGCTTATTCTCCCATTCATTCTTGGCTTCTGAGTCATCAACGGCTTATCTTCCTGATTCTCCATTCCTTTTTTCTACTATTGTTAAGAGAATCGAGCTAGATCTTTGTCTCGTCTTGTATATTATTTTAAAAAGCACATTCTGAGGCACTTTTATTGCTGCAGATGTTGTACCACTCATGAAGATCAGATGTTGGCTTTTTAAATACTAAGAATAGACTGTGCAGTTCTTTTCTTTCTTTCTTTCTTTCTTTCTTTTTTTTGGTGGCTGACTGGTACTGGGATCAGAACCCTTGACCTCGGTATTCTGACACCACACTCTAACGGACTGAGCTAACCATGCAGCCCTGAAGGTCCAGTTCTGACAGACTCTGTGATTTGTGGGTTGAAGGTATTTTGGTTTGGTGAATGAGTATTTTAGTGTGTAAGTCTTGTTTTTTTTCTGAGTATCTGTGTTAAGTAACATCATTCACGAATGGACATATTGAAAATTATTCTTCCCCCCAAATGTTGACAGTTATTAAAAATTAGATCCCAAACTTTAAGGGAAAAAAGTTCTTTCCTAAAAGATTTTTTTTTAAAAGTGCTTATTGAAATTAAATAGTTTCTAGGGAATCCTTAAAATGCACATTGCTGTCTCTCTGTGAAGTAGTTTTATTCTAGTTTTGGAAGAAGGCTCTGATTTTTTGTAGCACTTAGGTCCAGTTGTTTGTTTCTGGGCTAAGGTTATAATGATCCTCTACTTACAAGACTGTGCTGTGGGGATGATCCTGTGAGTGCAGTTCGGCATTATGCCTTCAAGGGAGAAGATGCCTTCTTCTCCCTTACAAAGAAGAGAGAACAGCCTTTTGAAAAAGTAAACAAGAGCCTCTGTGACAATTTGCTTTGAAAATTAACAGTAGCCAAAGAAAATCTATGAGGACATTGCATACTACCTGAAGATTTCTCCTGGTGACACAAGGAGGGATTTACACCCCTTTGGATGACATGGCATGTGGATAGCAGGGCCCGACTGCCTCTTGATGTTAAGTAGGTGTATTAGCCAGGGTTCTCCAGAGATACAGAATCAAGAGGATATTTAAATACAAAAAGATATATTATAAAGAACTGGCTCACACAATTTTGGAGGCTGAAAAGTCCGAGAATCTGCAGTCCACAAGCTGGAGACCCAGGAGAACTGGCGGTGTAGTTCCAGTTTGAGACTGAAGGCCTGAGAAACAGGAGAACCAGTGTGTGAATTCCAGCCCAAATCCAAGGACTGAGACGGGAGAGCTGATGGTGTAAGTCCCCGTCCGAGGGTAGCGGGCAGAAGACCGATGTCGCAGCTGAAGCACTCAGGCAGCGTGAGAGTATAACTTCTCTTTTTCTCTTTTTGTTCTATTCAGGCCCTCAATAGATTAGATGATGCCAGCCCACATTGGGGAGGGCAATCTGCTTTATTCAGTCTAACAATTCAATTACTTATCTCATCCAGAAACCTCCTCACAGACATACCCACAAATAATGTTTAACCAGGTGTCTGGGCACCCAAGGCCCAGTCAAGTTGGTAAATAAAATTGACCATCACAGTGGAAAAACATTGGAAGATACTGCCTTACAACACGAAGATTACTACAGAAAAGAGCAAATCTTTCCTCTAAATGTATGGGAACTTAGTTCAGTTTGAAGGTAGGGCATCAGAGCCCAAAATATTGGTATTTGGTGATTTTCAAAAGTAAAACAATATTGAGATAAAGAAAATGGTTGATCCTAGCTTCACCCCAGGTAACAGCTTGTTGTACATGCTTTTTGCACCTTACTTTTCTCCATGTTCAGTAAAAATATATAAGCGCAGGTAATGTATACACAGGTGTGCTTTTTTTTTTTTTTTTTGCTTTTCTTTTATCCTCACGGAATCATATTGTCTCCCTTAATTACTCTGAAACTTCCTCTTTTCATTTAACGATGTATTCTGGATTTCTCTACAATATCCCTAAGTTATCTCCCTCCTTTTTTCTTAAATCCATTTTTAGCTTATTAGATATCTAGAAATAAAGCTGCTTGTTTTCCATGCCATATTTTTCAGGGAACATATTGAACATATTGACATAATGAAGTCATTAAATTGTCTTGTGTTTAGATTAAATTAACTTGGGAGTTGTAGTCTAGATCTGATCTGTCACTTGTAAACTTTTGTCCAAGTACGTTACGTAATTTCAGAATGGTTTAAAGATGTCTCACCTTCAAAATGAAAGATGAAATTTGAAGGAAATATTTAGCTTACCTCTTTTATTATTTAAGCATTGAGAAATTAAGTGTGCGAGTGAGGGTTGGGTCAGTGTCACGTCTTTTTTTATGGGTTGTTTTTATTGATTATCATCTCTTCTAATCTCTTCTGTTTTGTTTACCTAGCATCTTTATCATACTTGGTCATATTCTCGACCCACTTTGATGCTCTCTCTCTTTTGTTCTGTTTTGCTCTCGTTCTGTGAGTTTTATGGTTTTTGCCATCCTGCCTTTCCTTACCCCAGTCCCTCAGATAGTTCCCTGCCCTGCATGAGGACATGGGTGAGCACTTAGAGCTCACACCTGCTGGCCAGATGCCTTTACAAATTCTTTCGTTCTTTGATCGGCAGCTTTATTCCTTGTCTTGTGCCTTCTTCTCCCTCTGAGCTTCAGCTCTTTTGCTTTTCACCATTACTGGAAATAAACAAGAGGCCTAAATACATCAGCTGTGTTGCTTTGATTTCCTCTCTATTATTACTATTTAACAGACTCAGTGACACTCTTTATACCAGATTCTTCCCATTTTTCTTCTGAACATCCTCTTTATGGTAAATTTTTCCTCTTTTCAAGTGCATGCTTTTGACGCTGCAAAAATTAACTTTCTTTTCTCCAAAACTGCAAACACTCATACTTTCTTGCTCAAAGTCATTTGGTTTCTATAAACTCCTGGAAATATTCCTTTCAGGCTGTTTTGAAAATTGCTGTTACAGTTTGGGGAGGAATAGACTTTTCCTTTTTCAAAAAATGCTCTGTTGCCCAATTCTGGATTGGATTAATGTCAGTTCAATAGCTATTTATTTTGTGTCTGTCACATACTAGGCCTCAAGTCCTGGTTGCAGCCCCTGTGTTCACTATTTATTTCCAAACTATGCCTTTAACCTTTTCCAGTCTTCCTCCCTCTGCCGTATAGCTGTATCTGTCTCACGCTCCTTCCTGACTCTCAGTATTCACCCCCTTTCACTGCTCTGGCCTGTCTGTTCCTCTGTTTCCAACTGCCATAGAACCTTCTGGTTTCAACTTTTAAACTTTCCATAGTTCCTTCATCTTCAATGAAAAAAATTACCAAAAAATAGATCATCACGGACATTTCATATTGTCTTCCTTCAGACTTCAAATTACCTTCAACATATAACAGGCTTCAAGACTACTTAAAACGGTATGGAGGAAAAGCTCACATTTGTCTGCCTTGTGAATAGGACTTCATTTTTATTGGCAGGTTTTGACATTACCAAAAAAACCCCCAAAAACCAGAAAACAATAAGACTACTGTTTAAAGCCTTAACTTTTGAGTTTAAGCTGGTCCTGTTGGTATAGTCAGTATAGATTTTTTTTTTTTTTTGCCCTTACCTATGAGATATAAAAATATATGACTGTGAGTGCAGAATAGGTAATAAATGATTGTGTCATATCTTTGAAGACTTTAGGGAGGGGTCTTAACACTCCAGATAGAAAGATTGTACCTTAAAGAGGTGTCTCACTGATGTCCTTTAAATGTTCTAGCCCATTGATGGTATGCATGACAAGGGGATTGTGGAAGATATCCATTGTGGAGCCATGAAGGGCACCGGTATGCGACCACCTCACCCGGGAATGGGACCTCCCCAGAGTCCAATGGATCAACACAGCCAAGGTTTGTGTCTGCTACACACCTGATTTTGGTTCCATATCATGGTCTTTCAGTCTTTGCTATTGGATATTTTAGTTGTGACTTCCAAAGAATGTGTCTAAGGAAGGTTGAGTCCAGCACGTTTCTTTTCCTTGTAGAAATCCATCCCCATCCTCACCAACAAAACTTTTTGATTTATATGGGCAATTTTGTTTCCAAAGCCCCCTTAATTTTACTAGTCACCTTGGGTCCAAGCACTTACGTACATATGCTTTATGTACTTTATCCAGGATCTTTATTGTAATCTTGTAAGGTAAATGATGTTACCCCAGTTTTATAGAGGGGGAGCTAAAGCTTGGAGAATTTGTTTCCTTAAGTTTACACGTCCAGTAAGTGACAGGGCCAGAAGCAGAAGTAGAATTTTCCTCCCAACAGCAGCCTAGACGTGAAGGTGAGATGAACTACCTGTGTCCCTTGACTTGCATGCTTATACGTTGTCTATAAGGTAGCTTTTTCTGCCAGTGAAATTACCTGACATTGCTGATGGTAGCTTTAGTCTCCTAGGGCTGCCATAACAAATACCCACAAACTGGGTTGCTTAAAACAACAGAAAAGTATTCTCTCACAGTTCTGGAGGCTGGAAGTCTGAAATCAAGGAGCCAGCAGGACTGTGCTCTCTCTGAAGGCTTTAGAGAAGAATCCTTCCTTGCTTCTTCCCAGCTTCTGGTGATTGCTAGTAAGCCTTGGCATTGCTGGATTTGTAGCTGCATCACTCAAGTCTCTGCCTGAGTCTTCATGTGACATTTCCCTGTGTGTCTGTCTCTGTGTCTGGATTTCCCTCCTTTTATAAGGACACCATTCATTGGATTAGGGCCTACCTGAATTTGGTTTGACCTCATCTTAACTTGATTACGTCTGCAAAGACCTTATTTCCAGATAAGGTTACATTCACAGGTACTAGGTGTTAGGACTTCAACATTTTTGGGGAGGGAACACAGTTCGGCACACATAACCATGGCCAAATCAATTTCTTTTTTCGTTTACGCTTTAAATGTCCTCTTTTCTTACCTCAGTGTTGAATGCATGCTAAGATATCTCAAAGCCTTTTGAATACACTTTAGCCTGTTTTCAAAATCATTGTGTGGTCATTTCAATATCTGAGGCATTTAGCACTAATTAACATTGATATGTAGATGTTCTAATTCAAGGTGTATGGTTTCTGTGTTGCTGTTTATAGTCCTGTGTAATTAAATGTGCGTGTTTTTCCTCCATCCTTAATCAGATGCCCGTCCACCTGAGGGAAAACTTTTGGCTGTGAGGATTTAGAGAAATGTATTCACAATAGTTATCCTTTTGAAAAATAGGTAGGCAAGTCATGGAGGCACAGGAGTGCCTCTCCACTAACATTTGAACAGGTGTTTGAGCATCCCAGACTCTGATCTGAAATTTGGTGGTAGGCAGGCATAATTCTTGCAGATGATTCACAGACTCTTGACCGTGTCAGAAAAGCAGCTTGAAACATTGGGACTTTTTACAGTAAAGGAAGAAAAAAATTGACCCATTCAGTGTTAAGCATGAGTTAACACAACACTTCCATGTTTATCACTTAAATTCTGTGGGGCCAGGTGTGTTCATATAGCTAATGTAGATCTCAGTTTTAATACCTGGATGGCGTAGGTGAGTTATATTCAGTGATTTCTGAAGCCAGGTGCTTGCTCTTTTTGCTCCAGCCATTGCAGTGTATCTAATAGTGGGTTCCTAGGAAAATCCCAAACAGAAAACATTTAAATGCTGGAATCGTAACTGAGAACGTTTTTACTTTTATTTCTCTTAAGAGTCCTCTGATTGCAAGGCTCCCTTCTTCAACTTACGGATGGTGTTTTATTTGTTTTGAAATCTTCAACACTTGCACAATGTCTAGCACATGACTGGAGAGATACGTACTACATTTGGTTCAATTAAATGTGGAAGTAAACCTATGCATTCAAAAGTCAACGATTTTAAATAGATTTCAATTTTTTTTTTTTTTTTTTT